GACGTGAAGACAACTCACCCGTTCGTGTCTGGGTGTCCGCTATAGCCCATCGCAGAAGATTTGGCGTGGCTTGACCCTCGCTCGAGTTACGAAGGATGGCTGAGCGTTGCCGTGAGGGCAGTAAAGCGCTCGACTCGAGGGAGAGAGGAGAGGATGTGGTGGTTTTGAGGGAAGAGAGAGGGTCGGAGAGCTATGGTCCATATGGCCAGGAGGCTGACTAGTCTCGGCTCCTGCGGTGGGTTGGAAGTCGTGAGCCCTTTGGCGGCCGAACAACAGAACTAGGTCACAACCAGTTCGGCTCAAGTTGTGCTTCTGGTATAGAATGATCGGACAACCATCCACCGGGAGCATGGGTAACAGCGCTGGCCGGTTGTTCTCCACTTGGAATGGAGAAGATTAAGACAGCTATGATAGTATGTTGCGAACTTGAAGTTAGGTGCGAAGGGAAGATGAGCGAGGTCAGACTCTACTCGCCGGTTTCCTAGATTCCTCACGCAGTTTTGACACCAACGAGCCGGGTGAATGTGCGCGGTTGTGTGAGACATACAGCTGTGGACGTGAGGGACGGGTGTCACTGTAAACCTGAGCATAAGAGGAGATTTGTCAATCCGCGAACCGGACGTTTCGCTGAGCGGCCCGCCGGATCTCCATCCACACGATCAATCGAGCGCTGAGCGCTTGGAACTTGTACTCGACCACTTGACGAGTCTGGCCTCCAGCCACGACACTTCCTTGTCGACTCAAGATCCCTGCCACCATGAACATATTCCGATTGCTCTCAAGTAGTAAGGGCGCTCGCGCCCCATCTGCATTTCATCTCCGAGTGGCACCTTCGAAGTCCGAGTGCCCGCGCACAAATCACATTTTTCTCCTGCTGGCCTCTATCATCTCGGAGTCAGACGTAGCCTCAAATGACAAGACAACGCAGTACCGAGGAACCGAGTGTGGACTCGGACCCCTTGTTCGCCAGCCAAAGTGTGACGGAGTATTAATCGCCCAGCCTCCTTCGGGCGCCCGCCGAAACTGATAGCTCCTCCTCCCTAGCTGGTCGACGGTCCTCTCCAGACAACCGTATGTTTTTCTTATGATTGTGCTGGAATTAACAGGACCTCAGCCCAACCTACTACATTTTGCATCTCTAGAATACTACGAGGGAAAACTCACTCATCTGTCATCATTCAACTTACTCGGGCGCTGTTCTCACTCAGTTCTGCGAACCTATCCAAGCTCGCTCCACTATCATCCTATCATTCCAGATCGATTGCCAGCGGTGAAATGTGACCAAGAGGGACACAGCGCCGAGGAACCGAATATGGACCATCCCTTGTTCGCCCGCCAAAGAGATCACAACGCCCGCCGCCGGACTGATCCCAGCCTCCGACACTGGAATGGTGCCAACCTCCGCCTGACAGATCCCAGCCTCCTCAATATAAAACCAGAGCCAGTTGGCGTACTGCTCTTTCTTCAGTACCACAATGTCCGCTCCCCTCTACAAGGCTCTCAGACACACGCCTCCACGGTAGCTAGAGCTAGAGGGTGAAGACACAGTGCACCCCACCCAGTCTGTCCTCGTTCATTCGCGACGGACTGTAGCGGACATCCTCGTTTCTCAGGTGAGCTCTTATCTGATGTTCACTCTCTCTCACTACTGACATGGGTAATTTGAACAGAGGGTTGTCCTGTACGATGTCCTCGTCCTCTCTAGGCGGGAACAACGGCGTGCACGGTTCCATATACCCCATCACCACCTCCCCTCATCGCGCACGCCGTAGGGCATGGCTGGCGCTCGTACCACGTACGTCTCATACTTCCTGTGCATTCTCCATCTTGCCTCAGACCGCCACCTTCCAGTACCACGAGCATGCTCATCATAGCCAGCCGCCCCGTCGTGTATAAGCCCACCTGGTGGCATCCGACGTTCGCGTCGCGTACTGCTCAGGCTCCTGCCACTCCCAGTAAGCCGTACCAGAAGGACGCAGGGAGAGAGGTAGATGAGTCAACGCCTTTCCGGTACAGTCACCTGTCGGGGATGGGTGACTCGGACTGTGCGGAGGGTGCGCGGCGCATTGCAAGGCTGAGCCTCCCTAGGGTGAGTTGTTTGTCGCTATGGATGTCGCAGAAGTTAACTTATAATACACAGTGTGCACCGGTATTGAACGACCTCGACCTCGACCTCGACCGCATGAATCCTGGACAAAGGTGCGTCATACCATATGCATAAGTGGTTGACAACGTTCCTTCTGTGCAGTACAGTGAGTATGAGCATGGACGTAGATTAGTGTATGTACCTTGTAGCTTTGTAGATGTAGTCGGATAATATACAATTTGATCGTATGTCTTGATGGCACGCGGGTTCACATCACTCCACTGAGTCACTCATAACGAAAAACTTCGTTACTCGGAACACTGATCCTGCTGACACAAGCCTCGTCGTGGTCATCAAGGTTCGTACAAACTACCGCTACCAAGATGCTCATGTGCATGCATACTTCAGGAGAAAAGGAAAGAAAATCTGAAGCCTGCCCGTGTCGTCGTTCTGGGTATATGCGTCGCATGCTCGAGCTTACTCACGCGGAGAAAGAGGTTCCCTTGACGGCCTGGATCCACTGCGAGTTCGCGTTCGGGAACTGGAAGGACATCACGCCCGCGTTCCAGCCCTTGGCCACCGCCTGCTGGATGCACCCGCCGAGCGTCGTGGGGTCGATGAGGCTGCCCTTTGCGTCGTGTTCCCAGCCAGGCTTGCCGATGACGAGCTTCTGAAGGTCAACCCCCGACTGCTGGATCCCGAACACCGACGAGCCGCCGGTGTTCAGCAGGGTGTCGCAGTCGTTGTAGCCCGGGCTGGGGTCCTCTGTGTCATGTGCCGAAACGTCAGTCGATGAGCCCGAAAGGGCTTGTGGAAGAGGGACGCACGGTTGTAGAACTGGATGTTGTACTGCATCGCGCGGAAAAGAGCAGAGCAAAGAGTCAGCGATTGCGCCCTCGTGATGACCTTCGATACACGTACGTAGTCAATCAGCTCACCGACGTTCTTGTCGACGGTAAGGTAGCATCCCCCAGGGCAGAAACCGGGTAGGAATCAAGGGCCGACCGCTACAAGGATCGATCAGTCATCAGCGCCGATTTACCCGACCCTAGTACTAGTAGTAATGTGCGGACGTACGGGCGTGAGAGAGGATGAACTGCCCCTTTGGGAGCGTCTGCCTCAGCGTCTGGGTGAACGTCGTGAGCCACTGCTCAGCGACGCCGCTCTGATGCAGCACGAGCTCAATCTCTTCATAGTCGACGTCGATGCCGTCGAGGTCGGTGTTGAGCACAAACTGCGCCATCGTATTCGCGAGCCCAACGGGGTCTTCGCCGTTCGTCGTCGGGAGGTCGGTCTCACCAAACGCTGAGGCGACGATTGACACGCCTTGGTCGTTGTACTGTTGTTTAAGCTGTTTGCGCTTCGTCGCGTCCAGGTTCGCTCATGCCTTGACTTGATCCTGCGGGCCAGTCGTAAGCAGGAAGGCCAGGTTCCTAGATGTGAGTTGAAGGATCAGGAAGGTGCGGGCAATGAGAGTAGGTGCATGAGAACACCTACACGACGTTGAAGCCCTGGATCTGGTCAAGTGGCGGGAGAACGTCCGCGCCGACAAGGAGATCGCTGTAGACGACGAACTTGGGACCTTTCGGGATAACGCCGCGGGGGGTGAGGGGTGACGCGAAGGACACGCCCGCGGCTGCCAGAGCTGAGCAGAGGGTGAAGAGACGCGAGAACGACGGAGTGAACATCTTGAAAGTAGAAGCGAAAACTCCCTAACCAGAGGGAGGAAAGTATGAATGAATGAAGGAGAGGGAGAAGAGAAGACGAAGGCCGCTAGCGGATGGGGATTCTGTCTGCTTCATGGACATGTTATATATACCTCAGCGTCGCGTAGAGGGACGCCGGGAGTAAGGATTGTATCAGACCGTGTCGTGCTATCTTCGGAAAGACACTCGTCGGTATTCGGTGGGGCGCAATACCGAGCACATGCGCGAACGGTTAGTGCCAGTGCGTCAATTTGTTGCGTTGGCCTCCGGTGTGATGAGTAACTTCCTAAACCGCATGTCAAATTTCTAGATGCAGATGGCATCGTTGTAAACCCTAGAAGACGCACTTCAAGATGCACCAGTAACCGCGTTGCTGTCCGATGACACAAGCACAATACTAGTCGAATCTGCTAGATGAAGATGCATCAGTACAGGTACGCTCAGGGACTGACAGTGGGCGTAGGTGAGGATGTCGGAACGCTCCTAAACATCATCGAAGTCGATATATTCCCGATGATGTGTCCGCGCCTCGCCCTGCACGCAGAGTCGGGAAATAACCCAAACAACAGATATCCGATCACTCACCACTGTTCTGCAACAAGCAGACGCTATAATGCTACCCGCCGGTCACTGCGAGCGGCGAACCACGGATATCAACGATATTCTACTACCGAAATAGCTTCGGATCTGTTGTAAGACGAGCGTTGCATCATGAGCTGGCTGAGGAGACCATCGAGGCGCGTCCTTGGCCGGGGGGTATCACAGTTGACAGCTCGGTAGCACAAGGCTGGCAAGACGAAAAACACCGGTCTGCCCGTTTCACACTCAGGTCCAAGTCATGCAGTCCGAAATACATGAATGTGTCAAGGGATGATAGCTTGATATGCTCGATACAATACACTAAGTTGGCTGCAATGACGTACTTACCGTGAGGTGGTACGGTGCCGTGGCACGAGATTGAACAGGGTTGGCAACCTTCGCGGATTGTTGAATCAGGTTGATTACTAGTACTCCCCGAGTTGGCACTGACACATCGGACAGAGAGCGCGACCATGACCGATACCAAGTTCCACCATATTCGGTGAGTGAGATGGAGGAGTTTTGCATTCATCACGAATGGATGATCATGGAAGTTCTGAATTCTCTAGGAGAGGAATGGATCGAGAAGATACACTTGACATAAGCAACCGCACTGAGTGGTTTTACAAGAACCCTTGGCGCAGCGGTAGCGCGTGAGATTCCAGTTTGTCGCTTTCTGGGAAATCCTCAAGGTCATCCGTTCAAATCGGGTAGGGTTCAATATGTTTTGCCTTTTCACTTTTCCTCCTTGCCTAAGCTCTCTGAGGCTCTTTTTGTATCAACCGGTTCCATCCACGTCGACTGCCAGGCTGAGCCAATGTTAATGCCAGTCAGTATCAATCAGGATGTACCGCGCAGAACAAAGCGTCCTTGACAGCGCGGTGGGTTGGTCGATTGATGTCATGAACTCACATCGAGCGCAAACCAGGGTAGAGAGCAATCACAGTCACTTCATCGTCGTCATTGTCATACAGCTACCTGTCTACAACGTTTATCATATTTATACACAGCGCCCGAGTCCTCTCATTGAATTGCAACACCGCCCACTCACACCAGCGGACGGCTCCTATACAGCAGCACGTACGCGGATGCGTCCTGCCCGCCACCGGAGAGCGTCTCGAGCTTCTCCTGGGGGAAAATCGACACCTTCTCGTCGTCAAACTTGTACCAATCCTCGTCGTCCTCGTCCAGCGCCGGTCGGCCCGAGGCGCCGTGCAGGGCACGCTTCTTCACGAAGCCGATGTAGTGCCCCGCGTCCGCCTCGGCGCCCTTGTGTGTGACGATTGCTGTTTGACGGCCGCGCCGTGGGTGAGAATCCAGACCAGACAGGAGCGCGGGAGGAAGACAGAAGGAAGGATGGAAGGAAGGAGGGGAGACTCACCGACAAGTTCGTACTGCCCCGTCGTACTGCTCCCCACATCACTTTTGATCTCCGGCGGAAGGAGCGTCTCGAGCTCCTTCCCCTCCCTTTCCCGATACACGCTCTCGTCCTCGAGCTCCACGCCCGCGACATCCTTCCCTTTCCCCTTCTCCGTCTCCGTAACGGCGGCGGCGCCCTCCCCAGCACTGGCTGCCGGTGCAGAGTCCCCTGGGGACGTAGATGCAGTTACAGCGGGGGCAGCAGTGGCAGGCGCGCTGGAGGCATCGGCCATCTGCACGTCGCCCTCCTTGTCCTTCGCAGTGCTGGACTGCGCGGCGACCTTGGTACGTTTCCGGACTTTGCGGCGCTCGGCGCGTTCCTTCTCGAATTCTAGCAGCTTCCTGCTGATCGGGAGCAGCTTCTCGCGCAGCTCCGGCGTCGCGATCTCGAGTGCATCGTATTCCGTCGGGAACTTGACTCTCCTCTGCGTTCATGGGGCGCACATTGAGTGTGGCATCATCACTATTTATTCTGGATAGACACACACCATGATTTTCGCCTTCTTGTTGATATCACGTTTCCAGGCGAAGCGGACCATGTGTACAGTCAGGTACGAAGGTAGACGCGAGAGACGTTGTGTCGAGCTGTAGACCGCTTCGCGACCGAGGATGGGCGACTGCTTTTCGATCGTGCCGTCGAGGGCCTGAAGTTGACCTTCAGCAAAGATTACATGCTGACTGGAGGGTTATTTGGGACTCACCTCCATGATCCCTTGCTGCATGTAATTGACGGCGTTCGAGATGTTACATGAGACTTTGAGGACCTTTTCGAACGCGACGGACTCAGGCTCTTCTGGTGCCTCAGTGCACTTGAGTCTGGTCACACGAAGTCAGCAAGAATTCTCGAAAGTCATACGTTGTAACTTACACTCTTCGCAGCTCGCCTGTCATGAATTGATCCACGAATTTTGCATTGGATGACGATCCTGACGATGTTCCTGAGAGTCCTGGGACATCCTTCAACGAGTTTGTCAATTGTACCCAACACTCTTCCGCATCTGGGGCACGATGATGTTTCAGGGTCCGTGGCACATACAATAATGAGGGACTACGTACCCTGTTGCGCATAGCCGCCACCCATGAGCGCCTTCAAGCCTCCCGCACGGGACAATTCAGCGAATTGCGGGTACGCATGTCGGAGAGCGGCCAGGAAGGCGGAAGGCGTCACACCATCCGTGGTTTTACTCATATCGCTATAGAGATTCCGTAGTGCTATGGGGAGCCCAAGAGGGGCGGAACTATGGAAGGTGTGTAAGTGGAGTGAAGGCGATGATGAGTGTGTCAAACAGACGTTTGGAGGGCGGTCTGCAGTTCCGGAATAGCACGCATGGCTTGGAGGGTGGCGTTCATGTAGCAAGTGTTCCCCAAGTTGACAAGTCCAACAGGCAAAGAGAGCTAAAGGAGAAAACCATCCTCATGACTTGGTCAATGATGCCAGGAAGGGAAAAATGAACTCACTGCCTGTGCAAGAGAGGTATCGTCCATGTCTACAGTAGGCGAATAAATGTTTGCACGCTCGCTTGCACACAGAACTATCGCTACCGACCTTCGAGGAATTGAATTGGAGTTGACGGAGGCTTTGGAAGCTCTCCAGCGGCGCCGATCACCATGAATGTTTGTCCCTACTCGCGAAGAAGCAATCAACCTCCCTGATGTATGCAATTCTGGAATCCAGACCAACCGCTTTAGGTGCAACTTTGCGCCAATCGGTGTCATCCTACGCGCATACATATGCATGAGCTCGGTGTACGCGTTCACATCTGACAAAGTAACCGCGCACCTTGAGCATACCGCCCTTGATCATGACCTTCATCCTATCCGGCGGCACACCGGTAACCTGGTATATTGAGTCTTTGAAGACGGCCGGGGGAAGATCGGGGTCAAGCTGGACATCGTGAACCTTTCCTGCGTGCTTGATTTTGACTGCGAGGGGTGCCATGGCTGCTGTGGGGATGGTGGAATAGATAGGCAAGAGAGAAGAGAAGTGTGGCTCCTCGACGCGTACGCGCACCCCGTCCAAAGGGAGATCTCGATGACAAATCTGTGTCCGGGGAGTGCCGAGAGCCCGGGAGCCCGGCGCGGGGGTGCAGACCGTGCAGTGACGTCGTGTCGGGCGACGTGTTCACGTTTGGCGCCAAGTGTCCCTCGCTGCGGCGCGGTCACTGGACGCCTCTTATTCTCCTCCCCAGACGACCACCTTCCAGTTGCCCTCTACCTACTCCCACTCATTCACGATGACCGTATAGTAAGTGCTGCGCTCGCATGCACCGCAAGGTGTCCCTAACAATGACCCAGCTACACCCTCACCTTCCTCCTCCTCGTGGCTGAGATGGCCACCTTCTGCCTAATCGTCTTCCCCCTTCCCCACACAATCCGCAAGAAGCTGTTCCGCTTCCTCTCTGAAAGCCCTCTTGTTGCCAAGCTCGCATATGGCGTAAAGATAGCATTCATGTATGTCCCTGCGTCCTATCCGCCATATTCAACCATCTCACACGACGCAGATTTGTCGGCATCTTGTTTCTCGACGCGGTACAGCGAATGTGGAGGGTAACAGCAGAGGTGGATCTCGCCAAGTCGACAGGAACCGGGGCGCAGGACGTTCGTACGGAGACTAACACGGCCGCGCGCAAGTTTTAGTACGTCATCACTGCGTGCAGGCTGTTGGTTCACGCACTGACAGGCCAACTTACAGCGCACAACGCAATACGTATCTCACGGGCTTCTGCCTCTTCCTCTCTCTTGTCCTTACGCGCACGTTCTACATCGTCCTCGACCTCATCCACACCCAGGAGGAATATGCCAAGCTCAAGAGCTCGGTACGTATTGATTCGCGCGCTCGCGCCACAGTTCACGAGCTCATTGAATGTGCTTCTAGACCGGAAAGTCCGTCGGCGGTGACCAGACCAAGCAGATCGAGGACCTCAAGAAAAAGCTCGCGATCGCAGAGGCGAAGGCGAAGGACTACGGTACGTTCTGCCTCATTCTGCACCCTGTCACGTACACTGACGTCATATGTATAGACGTTGTGAAGAAGCAGGCTCAGCAGAACGCAAAGGAGTACGACCGCCTCGCCACCGAGTTCAACGCCAAGACGGGCAACATCTCTGACAAGCGCAGGGACTGATGAGCTAGCTTCTGATTCTGTTCAATGCTTCCGGAATCGTTGACGATCTTGGATTTTGGCACTGCCTTGATGTACGTTCACGCCTTGGAACCTGTAATGTCGCATACGGGACCTCGCCATGTACATCGCTCTCGTTAATTTATGCAGTTTCCGGTTATGAGGGTGGTTTTGGCGGTGTGCACCACCGCTGCGCTATGGTAAGCGCATCATTGTAATTATATGGGTACTTCAGAATGCTGAGAATACCTCACTGAACAGAGATGAGCAATACGGCGCTGTGCGCCGAGCTTATAGCCCGAATATGGCGGCTGATCGACAGGCCTATGTTCATCGTGTTGCTAGTTTGATCCCACCGAGCTGTCACCTATACCGTCCGCCAACTGAGAATGTGTTACAGTGCCCCCCACCCCCGCTAGGTCACCGCGAGGTCAGAAAGAATACTGTCGCTGTCGCTGAACGATCTGATATCTTGTTGCTTCATTATCCCTAGACTCCGCACATGAGGCGCGAATACTCTACCGGTAATATGTCGAATTCGATGATATTGTAAGTAGGGGCGTTCCAATATCTCTACCTTTGCCTAAATGTCAGTGCCATCACTTTCATACCTGCGCTGACGGTCTCGTGCGGCTATGCGACTGCCAATGCATCCAAAACGCGTTTTGAACAGAGAAAAAAAACGATGCCGTCTTTACCTGTAAGCATGGCTAACGTGATGCACTGGTGTAAGTACTAGCTACTCGCTAAGGTAAATACCGTGCCCGACAGCGGCCCACGCAAACCCGAACAGTCTCTTCCTGCAGATAGGATAACCTATGATTATGTAAAGTAGGTATGGAGTGCGTCCATGAAGCAGACAGAATCTTCACCGCTGCTAGCGTCTCTTCATCCTGTGTTTGGCTCTGGCAGCCGCTGGTGTATCCTTCCCCGTCCCTCTCACCCCCGCCCACGGCGTGGTCCCGCAATGGTTCCATGTTCGGTCGTCTACAGCGGTCAACCGCTTCGTCGGCCTCGACGTCCTTCCTACGCTCGACCAGGGCTTCAACCAAGTTGTGGAACATCTCTCCCGAGTTATCCATTGTAATTTGTGGTCACCCTCAACTCGAAGCTCACAGACACCGACGACGAGAGGATCATTGGCCAGTAATGCGGCTTTCCTGCTCTTGAGTGATCGAGC